AATTGTTATCCATGTTTTACTGACTGAGTAGAATAATGATTCCTGTTAGTTTGCAGGAGGTCTGGCCTCATACTGGAATTAATCTGTTTTTCCTGGAGGACTCAGGTGATAGGACAGAACAAATGCTTATCATATCTGCAGATGACAAACATGATAAGAGTGGGAGCACCCTCTGCAGGGCAGAACTAGAATTAAGAATTATTTTAGCAAACCACAAAAATAATTTAAGGGAAAAAAACGTTCATAATAATTTTTAAAAATCTGTGTTCTTGCATTTAGGTAGAAACAGTTGTTTGTGCAAATCCATCATGAGGGAGGCATTTAAGCAGAGATAAACAGAATTAAAGCTGAAAAGTTGAACATAAGTCAACAAAGATATGCAGCAATGAAAAAGGCACAGTCAGAGCAGTGTGTGTGAAAAGGTGGCCTGGCAAGGTTCAAGGTTTATGTTCTCACCTGTAGCTTTGGTATAGGACAGACCTGGAGTTTAAAGGAGGATGAAGATTATTTTGAAATTGAAGAGGAATTCAGTAAAGATGATGAAAAAAAAGTTGAAGAAATGTGCAACTTTTCCATTTAAAACAGGTAAATCTAAGAGACGGCATGGCAGGAATTAGCAAATAAATAAAAATTCCTAGCAATACAGTAAGCTTTTCTCCTTGCCCACTTTTTCAGACAAATAGCTGGAAACAGAACAGATTTAACAGAAGAAGAAGGCCCTTGGAAAGCACTGACAGCACACAGAGGGAGGCCCTGGAATCAAACTGGAATCAGTTGTCTGAGTTTTGCAGAGACAGAGTATTTCTGCCACCAGGGTTTTTAAGGACAAATCAAACATCTGTCAGGGGTTCTTAGGTCTAATTGATTCTGCTGTACAGCAGAGATGCACCAGGATGACCTTTTGAGATTACTTTCAGTATTCTTTCTTCTACTGTAAAAAGAAGGAGAATTAAACTAAGCAGGCTAACCTTGGAAGAAACCAAGAGAGAAACAAAAGAGAAGTACACAAAATTTAAAAAACCAAAACCCAAAACCCAAACCCCAAAAAGCAAACAAACAAACAAACAAAAGAACAAAACCACCCCAAACAAAAAGAAGGAGACTGGTTAAGCCAATCAGTTACTGACAGACCCTGCTTTTATTCACAGCACCTAAGTCTAATGTTCAGTCATGGCACTGTCTAAAAACCCTTTCTCTGCCCTGCAGAAAAGAGAGATGAAGTTTGGAAGGAAACAAAGAGGAGTATCCAAGGGCAAGGCACCTGCCTGAGGCATAATCAATATCCTGTGTCTGGTGCTTTCAGCCAGGGATTGTAGGAAAAGGCCTGGGATGCAGCTGAGGCGTGGAACAGGCTGTGAAGTGTGGAATTTGTGCTTTGAAATTATTCTGTACATCTTTCAGGCCCTTGGCTATCAGCTCTGTCTGATCATACCTGTCTGGAAACAAGATGAAATGTAGCTGGGTGCTGGTAGAGCTGATCCAACATTATTGAGTCAACATGATTTTGTGGGAGCAAAGGAGGAAAAGTTTCCCTGACTGGGCATGACCTGTGCTGCTCTGGCTGGTCTCACCCATTTTATTTGGTGCCATAGACACGAGTGGTTTGTGTTGGTTTTGGAAACTCCTACAATTTTTTCAATGGGTTGAAATGGATAATGCTGTTGAAAGAAAAAATGTCAGAGGAATACATTGACCTTTGTATTTCCATAAGCAAAAACTCATTTTATTCTTCCTGATCTCGCTAGAAACAGTGAAATTCTTTGGAAAATATTTAGAAAACTGTGGTAATATTCAGTTGTAATTATTTTTTTCACAGAGCAATAATAAAAGAAGATATTTTTGCAGCGAACTCAAGTCAGGAATAGGCAAAAAACTGAATGACCTGACAGTGCTTCATGGTTACATGTTAATAACTACTTCAAAACAAAAAAAAAAAAAGAAGACTTTTTTCTTTTTAAGATCACATTTTAAAGAAAATATTTCAGTCCTTTATTTTTTTTGGCACAGCAATCTACCCCATTTTAACTCTTAACTGTGGTGTAAATCTTCTCAAGGGATGGACAGAGGACATCTTTATTCAAAAGATGAATTTAAATTTTCTGGCATACTGATTTGCATAAATCTATTTCACTTACCATGTAAAAAACAAAATTGCATTTTGCAAATAAGGCACTACTGTTTTTGAAGCCATATGAGGGAAATTATTAAATCTGGGGTTTCCAGCAATGTATAAAATCATGGCTATAAAAACAATTTTTCCTGATATTATTCCCTTTGTTGATTTGATACTCAAGCTTTCCTTAAATCTGTACCTCATAATGTTCTTGCTGTTCTCATTCAGATCATCAGCCTTGTAATATTTTTCCAGTTGGGTGTAGCTTTAATTTGTAACACAAATTCAAATAAACGATCAAGTAAGTTTTTTCACCACTTATCTTGTCAGAAAAGCAAACTTTGGGGTTTTTTATGCAAGGATTGGGTACTTGAAAAGGTTCCTGCAGAGTACAGGTCTGGTTGCCAGTCAAGCTGTGGGAAAACAAGATAAACAAAACAAGTTTCTTAACATTTTGTGAGGGGCTTTTTCATTTTAAGAAAAAAAATAAATTGTACTCAGTGTCACTACACGAATTTCTGGAAAGTGAGTGGGGAATACTGAACACAGTGCCAGCTCTAACAACAATTCAGCAATGAGAGGAAAAGATCAGTGGTTTTATAGCAGCCAACAACACAAGCTGGAAGGACTGGATACTCTGGATGTCAAAAAATCCTGAATGGGTGATCACTGTAACTTTTTTATTTTTGATACCGAACTTTTTTATTTTTACACACTTCTTTTTTCCTTCTAGATCCCAGAATATATTAATTCTTAGCTAGTTTCATCAGGTACTGTAGTGATGGAACAAGGGGGAACAGCTTCAAACTGAAAGAGAAGAGGTTTAGATTGGATTAAGGTTAGGAAAGAATTCTTCCCTGTGAGGGTGGGGAAGCCCTGGCACAGGGCTGCCCCTGGATCCCTGGAAGGGCTCCAGCCCGGCTTGGATGGGCCTTGGAGCAACCTAGGATGGTGGAAGGTGTCCCTGCCATGGCAGGGGGTGGGGACTGGATGTTTTTTTTAGTCCCTTTCAATCCAAACTATTCTGTGATTCTCTGAATCTGGAAAACACAAGCACTGTGTCCAATCTTTCTGCTGCACATTGAGACCATTTATTGGTCTCTTTCTCCAGGCAGCACTGACAGAACCAGAGGACACAGTCTCCAGCTGCACCAAGGGAAATTCAGGTTGGATATCAGGAAAAGGTTTTGTACAGAAAGGGTGATAAAGTTCTGGAATGGCTGCCCGGGGAGGTGGTGCAGTCACCATCCCTGGGTGTGTTTAACAAAGCCTGGATGTGGCACTGGGGGACAGGGGTGAGTTGAGCTGTTGGGGCTGGGTTGGACTCGATGATCCTGAAGGTCTCTTCCAACCCAGGGATTCTGTGATTCTGTGAATTCTGAAGAACCAGAAATGCCTTAAGGCATTCCTTAACTTCCTTCATCATCCTTAACTTCCGCTTCCTGAAGAGCTGTGGTAATAGCAATGAGGGGGTTGTAAAATAGTCTGAGCTGATCACTGATCTTCCCAGAACTGTGTGTTTGCTTTTCCTCAAAGGATAAATAAAACTATCAGACTTCATCTCCTGCAGCTTGTGGCTGGCTGGTTATCACTGCAGGACTGTGGTTAATTAATGTTTATGTTCTTTAAAATTTTCGTGTGAGCAATATGCACCGCTGTTTCTGTGGCTGCCAATATATATACAGATATATAAAATTATTTTAATGCTACTGAGAGAAGATGATAAAAGACTTCATTAATTTGTATTTCACATTCCAGGTTTTGCTGAAGGCTAAAGCACTGGAGTCCAGCAGAAAGGTCAGTGGTTGAGGTGCCAGGCAAGGTCCATGGGGTGCAGTGCCCTCCTATAAGCTTTGCTTTTAACAGAATCCCTCATTCTGCTTTCAAAATCAACACACTGTTTAGCAGACCTAGCAAAATATGTACTCTTTACCTGGGACTTGTTAGTTTTCTTTTTAAAAACAAGATCCAGCATAACATTTAAGCCAAATGCACACAGTCCACACAGAAATACAGATGGAGTGAAGACCTTAGATGTGGTATTTTAACATTAATTTTAATCCCATACTTTTAGAACTGTCCTCTAGATCACTGTGTCTGCAAATTAAACATTGTACATAGCAGTATAGACAGTATTTAAGATCAATTACTTCCTCAATCCCTAAATAAAACCTCACTTCTGCATGCAAGAGTGAGTTTGTTTGCACACAGTTTATAGGTGCAGTGAACCTGTCAAGTGGCATTTCACATGAAAATAAAAAAAATCACATAAAGCTATGAGGAAAGGCATATCAGATGTAACAAAAACAAACCTTCCATGGAGGAGAGTGATAGCTCGAGGCAGCCTGGCTGAGGTGACACCTTTCAAAGCCTCTGAGCTCCTGGCAGACTCAGTCCTGAGCAGTGCTGGCAGGTGATAGAATGAAAAAAGCATTATTGTCACTGACATACACAAATATGCACTGATACAGCCAGTGATCCATACAATGGGAGAGTTTAATTTGAGAGAATCTTCTTACTTGTGGTTCTGGCTTTGGCCCTTCAGCACTGCTTTGCATCTTCCTCTAGACTCTCTGCAGCATCAAGTTTTGGTGACCAATACTAATCCAACTACCAAGAAAAGAAAATCTTTGATCCATTTAATGCTCTCCAGGAAGGTCTCCATATATGAAAGCACACAGAGCATAAACTCTGCCTTACAGAGAATTTTACAGTGCATTTCTTCTTCTTCTTTTACAGTGCATTTCTTCTCCAGCAGTCAGACTCAAACATCATGAGGAATCATGCACATGTTTTATCTTTTGATGGAAGGAAGAAGACAGTCTGTTTCCACTGGTGGGGGATAAAAGCTAGAGTATGTGATGACAAAATGAAGTTCTCTGGTATATTCAAGCTCTATTTTTTTTTTTATTAAAGTCTACTGAAAACCAGGCTCTATTGTTTTATTCAAACATCATGTTAGGAAGTGAACAATACACAAGCAAAACATTGTACTAGGATGTGTCACAAGCTTTTTACACAGATTCACAGTGATAAACAGACAAAAAGACATTGCTTTTCATCTATACCAGATACTCAGGAAGAATACAAAGTGCAACTTTTTAATATTATACAGTCTCACCCAGAGGTGTTTCACCAAAAGTCTGGCACATAAACAACTTCTTTTTGAAAACAGAAGTTTCCAAAGCGTGACAAGCACTAAAATTGCTTCATCCAGATCACTGGGACAGTTGTTGGCACAGGCTCCTTTCAGTGTCCATTCCCACCTTCAGAGAGGATCCGTGAGGGCTCTGTGTACTTTGCTGTCATCAGGTAGAAGAGGGCAGGGGCAGGTACCAAGGCAAGCAAAGGCAGGTCCTGCTCAAGCTTATCCAGTTTGGAAATGGAGATGATTCCATAGGCATGGAGTAACCAGTGGCTGAAGAGCACAACGAGCCTTTTCTTCCTCACGAGCAGGTCCTTGAAAAACTTGCAAAATAAACACAACATCCTGTTAGCATTCAGCCTGTTAGCCAGCACCTGACATTTAAGAGGTGTGACAGGTAGAGCACAAAAACCATGTGAAGCCTCCTGGGTTTGAGCCCTTCCAGCACACACCCAGCTTCCCTCATGTGAGGAAATTCTCACATGAGATTCCTCCAGCCCAGAGGGGAAGGGATAAAGGAAGAGACTTAAAAGTAAAATACACCACTGAGAAAAGGCAAGAGACAAAGTGGTCTCTGCTCATTCAAGTCTTTTTTACTCCTTTAACACAGAAAACACGTTTACCCACCTCCACTTCAGAAGCAGACATGTACACAGCCAGTGTAACCAAAGAGAGCACCAGGATGATGTATGGGAAGGCATAATCTAAAGACAAACATGCAACACGTTAGCAGGCAAAAAATGGCACAGCTTATCCTTCAGCAGAGAGTTTTTTCCACAGGTGTGAAGCAAACTGAGCTGCTCTAGCTGCCTCTTAGCATGGCACCACACAAGCACAGCACTGAGGGTCAGCCAAGCACAGCCAAGCTGCTCCCTCTGGGGTTTTCTGCTGTTTCTCAGTGGAGTTACTCAACACTTACACCACAAATTGAAAAATGATAATGAGAAAAGTAGTCAGGCTGAGTGGGGATTTTGTGGCATCTCTCCAAATGTGACAAGAACGCTGGAAGCTAAACCAAAAATAGCCAATCTCCCCAAATTTACACTAAAACCCATCTCTGAAATCAGACAAACTCTGCCTTAGTAAAAAGTGGAACTAGCTCACTCTGGAGTACTTTCCTCTCCCACCCCCTCTCCTCCTTTTCTGGGGAAGGGACAGTGTCTAGCAGCACTGGCTAAGGCAAAGCAGTGTTACTCAGGAGCCTGGTGAGGACAGAGCTCCTAATGAGCAATCTTTTCAGGTGAAACTCTTCAAAATAACCCTAAACAATACCCTTATTCCCAAAGCAGGAAGTGTCCCTTCCTTCTGTCCCTTAAGTCCTTTCTTAGTGTGCATTGATAGGTGTGTTCAGGAGTGTTTTTAGGAGGGAACTCACAGAGGAGGCCTCCTCCCACGGCCTGCAGCACGGTGAGGATGGGGAAGAAGTAGAGTGCTGCATAAATGCTTTTAAATCTGTCAGACCTCCCCAAACCACAGGCAATCTTCTTCACCAGGAGAGGCCTCAGCAGCATCATCAACACGAGACAGAAGGCATAATAGATAAACACGATGGTGTACCTGGAGAAAAAGAAAAATTCCTTAAAATGTGCAGTTTTCTCATAGAGATTCAGGTCACAACCAAGGAATTTGGGGTTAGTCAGTGAACTCTAAAGACTTTATGGGTAAAAGGTTTAAAGACAGAATGATGGGCTCACTTTTCCTGAGGGGAAACAGTCAAGATGTTTCCTTTGCAAGGAAAAGAAAACAAAAATAACGAAGTTTTAAGCTACATAGTGTCAGAGAGGACACAGTCTCAAGCTGCACATGGGGAGGTTCAGGCTGGACATGAGGAGGAATTTCTTCACAGAAAGGGTGACCAGACACTGGAATGGGCTGTCCAGGGAGGTGATGGAGTCACCATCCCTAGAGATGTTTAAGGAAAGACTGGAATTGGCTCTCAGTGCCATGGTGGTGTTGGGCCATAGGCTGGACTCGATCATCCCAGGTCTTTTCCAACTAAATTGATTGTGATAGTCTGGGCTATGCCACTTCCTTTGATTACTCAGAAAGTCATTAAGTGTTGCTAAATCTATGTATAAAACAGCTCAATGCACTAAAGATTCAGGGGATTGATTGGCATTGATCCCAGCTCTACCTGAACACTTCTGGCAGCTTGGAGGAGAGGCAGGGGGGCACACACTGACAGGGGGGTACACGGGGCCACACACTCACAGGAGGTACACACTCACAGGGGGGCACACACTGACAGGGGGCACACACTGACAGCACTGACAGGGGCACAAACTGACAGGGGTCACACACTCAGAGGGGGCACACACAAGGGGCACACGCTCACAGGGGGTACACACTCACAGGAGGTACACACTCACAAGGGGCCACACACTGACAGGGGGCACACACTGACAGCACTGACAGGGGCACAAACTGACAGGGGTCACACACTCAGAGGGGGCACACACAAGGGGCACACGCTCACAGGGGGTACACACTCACAGGAGGTACACACTCACAAGGGGCCACACACTGACAGGGGGCACACACTGACAGCACTGACAGGGGCACAAACTGACAGGGGTCACACACTCAGAGGGGGCACACACAAGGGGCACACGCTCACAGGGGGTACACACTCACAGGAGGTACACACTCACAAGGGGCCACACACTGACAGGGGGCACACACTGACAGCACTGACAGGGGCACAAACTGACAGGGGTCACACACTCAGAGGGGGCACACACAAGGGGCACACGCTCACAGGGGGTACACACTCACAGGAGGTACACACTCACAAGGGGCCACACACTGACAGGGGGCACACACTGACAGCACTGACAGGGGCACAAACTGACAGGGGTCACACACTCAGAGGGGGCACACACAAGGGGCACACGCTCACAGGGGGTACACACTCACAGGAGGTACACACTCACAAGGGGCCACACACTGACAGGGGGCACACACTGACAGCACTGACAGGGGCACAAACTGACAGGGGTCACACACTCAGAGGGGGCACACACAAGGGGCACACGCTCACAGGGGGTACACACTCACAGGAGGTACACACTCACAAGGGGCCACACACTGACAGGGGGCACACACTGACAGCACTGACAGGGGCACAAACTGACAGGGGTCACACACTCAGAGGGGGCACACACAAGGGGCACACGCTCACAGGGGGTACACACTCACAGGAGGTACACACTCACAAGGGGCCACACACTGACAGGGGGCACACACTGACAGCACTGACAGGGGCACAAACTGACAGGGGTCACACACTCAGAGGGGGCACACACAAGGGGCACACGCTCACAGGGGGTACACACTCACAGGAGGTACACACTCACAAGGGGCCACACACTGACAGGGGGCACACACTGACAGCACTGACAGGGGCACAAACTGACAGGGGTCACACACTCAGAGGGGGCACACACAAGGGGCACACGCTCACAGGGGGTACACACTCACAGGAGGTACACACTCACAAGGGGCCACACACTGACAGGGGGCACACACTGACAGCACTGACAGGGGCACAAACTGACAGGGGTCACACACTCAGAGGGGGCACACACAAGGGGCACACGCTCACAGGGGGTACACACTCACAGGAGGTACACACTCACAAGGGGCCACACACTGACAGGGGGCACACACTGACAGCACTGACAGGGGCACAAACTGACAGGGGTCACACACTCAGAGGGGGCACACACAAGGGGCACACGCTCACAGGGGGTACACACTCACAGGAGGTACACACTCACAAGGGGCCACACACTGACAGGGGGCACACACTGACAGCACTGACAGGGGCACAAACTGACAGGGGTCACACACTCAGAGGGGGCACACACAAGGGGCACACGCTCACAGGGGGTACACACTCACAGGAGGTACACACTCACAAGGGGCCACACACTGACAGGGGGCACACACTGACAGCACTGACAGGGGCACAAACTGACAGGGGTCACACACTCAGAGGGGGCACACACAAGGGGCACACGCTCACAGGGGGTACACACTCACAGGAGGTACACACTCACAAGGGGCCACACACTGACAGGGGGCACACACTGACAGCACTGACAGGGGCACAAACTGACAGGGGTCACACACTCAGAGGGGGCACACACAAGGGGCACACGCTCACAGGGGGTACACACTCACAGGAGGTACACACTCACAAGGGGCCACACACTGACAGGGGGCACACACTGACAGCACTGACAGGGGCACAAACTGACAGGGGTCACACACTCAGAGGGGGCACACACAAGGGGCACACGCTCACAGGGGGTACACACTCACAGGAGGTACACACTCACAAGGGGCCACACACTGACAGGGGGCACACACTGACAGCACTGACAGGGGCACAAACTGACAGGGGTCACACACTCAGAGGGGGCACACACAAGGGGCACACGCTCACAGGGGGTACACACTCACAGGAGGTACACACTCACAAGGGGCCACACACTGACAGGGGGCACACACTGACAGCACTGACAGGGGCACAAACTGACAGGGGTCACACACTCAGAGGGGGCACACACAAGGGGCACACGCTCACAGGGGGTACACACTCACAGGAGGTACACACTCACAAGGGGCCACACACTGACAGGGGGCACACACTGACAGCACTGACAGGGGCACAAACTGACAGGGGTCACACACTCAGAGGGGGCACACACAAGGGGCACACGCTCACAGGGGGTACACACTCACAGGAGGTACACACTCACAAGGGGCCACACACTGACAGGGGGATACTCAGGAAGAATACAAAGTGCAACTTTTTAATATTATACAGTCTCACCCAGAGGTGTTTCACCAAAAGTCTGGCACATAAACAACTTCTTTTTGAAAACAGAAGTTTCCAAAGCGTGACAAGCACTAAAATTGCTTCATCCAGATCACTGGGACAGTTGTTGGCACAGGCTCCTTTCAATGTCCATTCCCACCTTCAGAGAGGATCCGTGAGGGCTCCGTGTACTTTGCTGTCATCAGGTAGAAGAGGGCAGGGGCAGGTACCAAGGCAAGCAAAGGCAGGTCCTGCTCAAGCTTATCCAGTTTGGAAATGGAGATGATTCCATAGGCATGGAGTAACCAGTGGCTGAAGAGCACAACGAGCCTTTTCTTCCTCACGAGCAGATCCTTGAAAAACTTGCAAAATAAACACAACATCCTGTTAGCATTCAGCCTGTTAGCCAGCACCTGACATTTAAGAGGTGTGACAGGTAGAGCACAAAAACCATGTGAAGCCTCCTGGGTTTGAGCCCTTCCAGCACACACCCAGCTTCCCTCATGTGAGGAAATTCTCACATGAGATTCCTCCAGCCCAGAGGGGAAGGGATAAAGGAAGAGACTTAAAAGTAAAATACACCACTGAGAAAAGGCAAGAGACAAAGTGGTCTCTGCTCATTCAAGTCTTTTTTACTCCTTTAACACAGAAAACACGTTTACCCACCTCCACTTCAGAAGCAGACATGTACACAGCCAGTGTAACCAAAGAGAGCACCAGGATGATGTATGGGAAGGCATAATCTAAAGACAAACATGCAACACGTTAGCAGGCAAAAAATGGCACAGCTTATCCTTCAGCAGAGAGTTTTTTCCACAGGTGTGAAGCAAACTGAGCTGCTCTAGCTGCCTCTTAGCATGGCACCACACAAGCACAGCACTGAGGGTCAGCCAAGCACAGCCAAGCTGCTCCCTCTGGGGTTTTCTGCTGTTTCTCAGTGGAGTTACTCAACACTTACACCACAAATTGAAAAATGATAATGAGAAAAGTAGTCAGGCTGAGTGGGGATTTTGTGGCATCTCTCCAAATGTGACAAGAACGCTGGAAGCTAAACCAAAAATAGCCAATCTCCCCAAATTTACACTAAAACCCATCTCTGAAATCAGACAAACTCTGCCTTAGTAAAAAGTGGAACTAGCTCACTCTGGAGTACTTTCCTCTCCCACCCCCTCTCCTCCTTTTCTGGGGAAGGGACAGTGTCTAGCAGCACTGGCTGAGGCAAAGCAGTGTTGCTCAGGAGCCTGGTGAGGACAGAGCTCCTAATGAGCAATCTTTTCAGGTGAAACTCTTGAAAATAACCCTAAACAATACCCTTATTCCCAAAGCAGGAAGTGTCCCTTCCTTCTGTCCCTTAAGTCCTTTCTTAGTGTGCATTGATAGGTGTGTTCAGGAGTGTTTTTAGGAGGGAACTCACAGAGGAGGCCTCCTCCCACGGCCTGCAGCACGGTGAGGATGGGGAAGAAGTAGAGTGCTGCATAAATGCTTTTAAATCTGTCAGACCTCCCCAAACCACAGGCAATCTTCTTCACCAGGAGAGGCCTCAGCAGCATCATCAACACGAGACAGAAGGCATAATAGATAAACACGATGGTGTACCTGGAGAAAAAGAAAAATTCCTTAAAATGTGCAGTTTTCTCATAGAGATTCAGGTCACAACCAAGGAATTTGGGGTTAGTCAGTGAACTCTAAAGACTTTATGGGTAAAAGGTTTAAAGACAGAATGATGGGCTCACTTTTCCTGAGGGGAAACAGTCAAGATGTTTCCTTTGCAAGGAAAAGAAAACAAAAATAAAGAAGTTTTAAGCTACATAGTGTCAGAGAGGACACAGTCTCAAGCTGCACATGGGGAGGTTCAGGCTGGACATGAGGAGGAATTTCTTCACAGAAAGGGTGACCAGACACTGGAATGGGCTGTCCAGGGAGGTGATGGAGTCACCATCCCTAGAGATGTTTAAGGAAAGACTGGAATTGGCTCTCAGTGCCATGGTGGTGTTGGGCCATAGGCTGGACTCGATCATCCCAGGTCTTTTCCAACTAAATTGATTGTGATAGTCTGGGCTATGCCACTTCCTTTGATTACTCAGAAAGTCATTAAGTGTTGCTAAATCTATGTATAAAACAGCTCAATGCACTAAAGATTCAGGGGATTGACTGACATTGATCCCAGCTCTACCTGAACACTTCTGGCAGCTTGGAGGAGAGGCAGGGGGGCACACACTGACAGGGGGGTACACAGGGGCCACACACTCACAGGAGGTACACACTCACAGGGGGGCACACACTGACAGGGGGCACACACTGACAGCACTGACAGGGGCACAAACTGACAGGGGTCACACACTCAGAGGGGGCACACACAAGGGGCACACGCTCACAGGGGGTACACACTCACAGGAGGTACACACTCACAAGGGGCCACACACTGACAGGGGGCACACACTGACAGGGGCACACACTGACAGGTACACACTGACAGGCACACACTGACAGGGGGCACACGCTGACAGGCACACACTGACAGGCACACACTCACAGGGGGTACACGGCCTCGTGGGTGCAGTGCACGGTGGTGATGTAGTCGGGGCTGGGGTTGTAGAGCATCGTGTACCAGTCCGAGAGCTTCTTGACGGGGCAGGAGCGGATGTGCAGGGAGCCCACGGGGTCGCTGAGCAGCAGCGTCACCACGGCCGCCACGCTGCACTCCAGCAGCGCCGTCAGGTGCTGCAGCAGCGCGCTGGAGCTGCGGGACAACAGCACTGTCACTGCCATGCTGCCAGCTCCTGCAAATCCCAGCAGCCCTGGAATCCCACAGAGCCTTGTGCAGAGTTAAAACCCGCTCAGTGTGGAAGCTCTCTGACAGTCTCAGGTGTAAGATTTTAGCGTGTAAAAGAAAAGAGCGGTGAGGGTAACACACAGCACGTCTCAGAAAATGTGACATTGCTGCTTGTGATACAAGCAGAATTGCCAAAGCTGCAGGTCCTCATTGAAGGTGGTAAATATTCATATATGAAACACTCCCAGTCCCCTGTCCCCACAGAACAATTTGGGTTATTAGGGACTTTAAAGACTATCCAGTTCCAACCCCCTGCCAGGGACAGGGACAGTTCAATACACTCCAGAGCCACCACTCCTTAAAAACTCCAGTCTAACACCTAATGGCCACATGCAGCTGTGGCTCTAAACCTCTTTTTGACAGAACTTCTCTCATGTAAAGGCCACAGAAGTTCTGCTATCAAGACCCCAACCCAGAATACATATTCCTAAAGAGAAAACTCAAACCCATCCTCTCATTGCACTTGTGCAGCCCTGCTGATACTGACCCAGGGGAAATGATACAACCTGCTGCTTCTGTCTGCTGGGAAACCAAATCCAGCCCAGACTGCCAGATGGACTGTGCACTGCCACATTAAAGAGGTGCAGACCATGCCCTGAGGGCAGTGACTGGAGAGGGTGCCCTGCAAGACACTTACATTTGTAAATAAACCCTCCTACAGCTGCTCTAAACTTCTGTGCAACCATATCAGCTCAATCAACAACAAGGGTGGATGGGGCTCTGAGCAACCTGGTGTGCTGGAAGGTGTCCCTGCCCATGAGAAAACTGGAACTGGATGATCCTTAAGGCTCCCACCCAACCCACACCAGTTTAGGATTCCAAGAACTGCTGGACAGTTCAGTTCAGCACCTCAGATGGATCACTCGTGGATAAAAGATTTCCAATTTTGAACAACTCATCTAGAGAAAGGGTACACAAACCTCTTCTTTCCAGAATACCACTCAATAAAGAACCAGTGTAAAACCAGGGGCAGCATGGCCATGAAGCCGAGGTACAGCCAGTCATAGCGGTCTGGAGATCCCAAACACTCCCGGCAGATTTTGTTGTCATCGGTTCTTTGGCCTCTGGGACACACCTGCAGAAGGCAGAGGTTGGACTTAGAATCCCACCACCAACAGCAAATCACTGCAGTTAATGCAAAGCCAGCTTGGGGCAAGACAGACCAGATTTTTAAAGAGATGAAACAATAACCCCAGTAATTTCTCAGCTTACACTTGCTCTCTCTGGCTCTTCTTTTTTAATATAAACAAGGTGAAGCATGATTAAAAGCCTTCACACAAGCCTCCATTTTCCTCTGCTGCTGTCACACCGCTCCCTTTCATCCCAGCTCCCTCACCAGGCTGCTCACAACCGCTGTTCTCCAGTCTGATCCCACCCTTCCCGGGCCTCGCTCTCCCTCAGCACTCCAGTAAAACCGGCACAGTGACTCATTTCAGCACAGCTCTCCACACCCTCCCGCTCTGTTCCAGCTTTTCCAGCCCCTCCACCCAGCTCGGGGGCAGACCGAGCCTCCGGCAGCTCCCTCGGGAAGGGAGGCAGGGCGCAGCTCCTGTTTCGGTCACGGCGCCCTTCTGCCCCAGCAGCCCCCGTTACCCGCGGGGGCCGGGCCTCGCACTCACCCCGCAGTCCCCGTAAGTCTCCACGGAGCCGTTCACCGACAGCACGGTCCTGCCGCAGTACAGCCCGAGGCAGGCGGGCTGGATGTCCACAGCTGCGGGGAGAGCGCGGGCCGCGTTACCGGGAAAGGCACCGAACGCCAGTCCCGGCCCGCTCCAGCCGCTGACAACCCCCTCAACCCCATCCGCGCCCCCAGCCGCATTCCCAGCCCCGTCCCGGTGCCCCATCCCGGCCCGTCCTACCGGCGCGGAACATCGCGGTAACCCAGCAACGGCGGCCCCGGTACTTCCGCCGCGGCACTTCCGCTTCCGCCGCGGGTCGGCTCCTCCCTGGAGCGCGGGCGCGGGAACGCGAAGGGGCGGGAACTCGGGAGGGCGTGGCCTGAGTTGGGGCGTGGTTACTGCCATGGGCGGGGACATAGGCGGGACTTCAATTGGGTGGGCGTGACGTGGGCGAGGCCTCAGGCGGGGAAGCCCGAGCGGGGCGTGGTCCCAGTTGGTGGGCGTGGTCTCTCGGGGTGTGGCGTGTGGCGCGATGGCGGCACGGGGCGGCGGTGACAGCGGTGACAGCGCCGGTGGCGGAGCGGGACGGGCGCTGCCGCCGCACTCGCCCTCGGGCGCGGTGCTGCAGACGGTGGAGATGCACACGGGCGGCGAGCCGCTGCGCATCATCCCGCGGCTGGAGGCGGCGGAGCAGGCGGCGGCGGCGGGGCTGTCGCTGCTGTCGCTGCGGCGGGAGGTGGCGGCCCGGCACGACCACGTGCGGCGGGCGCTGATGCACGAGCCGCGCGGCCACGCCGGCATGTACGGGGCCGTGGTGGTGCGCGGCGGGGCGGCGGCGGACGGAGCGCACCTGGCGGCGCTGTTCCTGCACTGCGCCGGCTACAGCGCCATGTGCGGCCACGCCGTGATGGCCCTCGGCCGCTTCGCCCTCGACTACGGGCTGGTGCCGGCGCCCGCCCGCCCCGAGACCGCCGTCCGCCTGCGCTGCCCCTGCGGGCCCGTCACCGCCTTCGTGCCCTGGGACGGCCACCGCAGCGGCAACCCCGTGCGCTTCCACAGCGTGCCCGCCTTCGCTGCCGCCACCGGTGGGGACCGCTGGGTGTTGGCGGGGGGTTGGTGGTGGCCGTGCCGGTGTTGGGGGCTGGTGGTGTGGCTGAGTGTGTCTGGTAATTATCTCCCTAGTCCCAGTGTTCTTCAGAGGTCGTCAGGGATGCTGTAATGTGCCATAGGAGTACTCAAGTTATCATCCCTGTCCACTGGCCTTGCATGTGTCTGCATTCCTTCACTCTCTGCAAGCCTGTGGCTCAGCAGTTTTGCCTCCTCACCTGCCTCCCTTTCTCTGCTCAGACTTGGCCATTGATGTCCCTGGCCATGGGAAGGTGGTGGTTGACATCGGCTATGGTGGCACCTTCTACGCCTTCCTCAGCGCCGAGCAGCTGGGCCTTGATGTGTGCTCTTCAAAGACCAGAGACCTGGTCAGTGCAGCGAGTGCAGTGACAGAAGCGGTGAAGAAGCAGGTATGGATGAGCACTGTGGAATCCCAGCATGTTCCCTCTGGGGTGACTGCACCAGACAGATGCTCAGGATGGTGGGAGAGTCCCATCCTTCCGGCCCCATGTTGAATTTCAGAGTCCTTACAAGGACAGGAGAAGGAGCTTTCCTGCTTCTCTCTGTCTCTGCTACCTGTGAAACAGAGGTGGAAATGCAGCCAAGTGGCCTTGTCCCCTCCTCTGGTCTCTCACAGAAGCTGCACTGCACACATTGCTGCTGTTGTGTGTAGTTGTGACCCTCTCTGTGCTGTTCCCAGTTCAAGCTTCATCACCCTGAGAGCGAAGACCTGGCTTTCCTCTACGGCACCATACTGACAGATGGGAAAGATGCCTTTAGTGAGGAGCCTACCACCAACATCTGTGTGTTTGCAGATGAACAGGTACAGAAACGGGCTCTTCTCAGGCACAAGAGGCACCACAATTGTCCCCTTGTCTCTTAGATCCACTGTAAAGAAGAGAGACTGTTCTGGTTCTTAGTTTGGGCAGTGATTGCTTGTGCTGTTGTCATGTCTCTGGAGAGCTGAGTGTTGATGCACGCATTCTGGTTTTGCTCCTAATAGCAGAAATACTTCTGCACACCTTAAATGGTGGCATTTTAAAAAGGTTCATACCCAAAACCTGTTGATTGGTATTTTCCAGGAGTTCAGGAGCTGAGACAGGATCCCAGCATAGTACATGTCCGTAAAGTCCTAATCCAGGGAACATCTGCTGGGGATGAACAACAGGAGAGAAATGGGGTGTTAAAATTCTGTTCTTGTCTGCAGTGCATAAGGTATCACATAAATGGCAGGGGAAGTTTTGGTTGGACTTCCCAGCAGTGAGGCGTGTGGAGCACTGGGACAGGTCACCTCAGAAGCTGGCCAACACTGTGTTTTTGGAGATTTTAAAAACCAGGCTGGCCAGGAGCCCCCTCAGTGTAAGGAGAACCAATCTTGCCTTGAGGTGTGAGAATGGGGCAGGTGACCTCAGCCCCTCTCAGTCCTTTTGAGATGATGCTGGGAAGACTTCAGTGCTCCTAAATGGCCTCAGGGTTTATTAGATCATCCATCCCTAACTGTGCCAAAGCCAACCACAGTCCAGAAGTACCCTAAACCTGCTTCTTTTTTCCTTCTCAGCTGTGATGTATCTGGATTCTCTACAAAACCCTGGATTGAGGGGGTTTCCCCTGAGTGCAGTGTAAAGGTGGCAGAGAGAACTGAGGGGAGCAATCTCATTTTGTATTAAACCCCAAAATCTAGAGCTGGTTCATCTCTTCTGCTGTAGGTTGACCGAAGTCCGACAGGCTCGGGGGTGACAGCTCGCATTGCCTTGCAGTACCATAAGGGACTCATCCAGCTGGACCAGAGCAGAACCTTCCGGAGCAGCACCACGGGCTCCTTGTTCACTGGGAAAGCAGTGAAGGCAAGTGGCTTGTGCTGGACTTTCCCCCTGTCTCAAGAGCTGCTGGAAATGTGCTCAGCGGGGGAGCAGAAAAGCCTTTCTGTGCCCAGGGAAGGGTGTAGGGAAGGAGGGAGGTGCCTGTGGGTCTTGCTCTCCCACAAACATGGCACTAAAAGGATTTTAGGACCTTGTTGTGTTGTGTGGCTGCTTTGGGATGAACCAGGGCAAGGGTGTCTGCATAAATATCAAGTATCACTGGAATTCTGTGGGGTTGGGAGAACCTTCTGTTGCCTCTATCCTCATCCTGATCTCTCTGCAGGAGGCCAAGTTTGGGAACTACAACGCTGTCATTGTGGAAGTCTCAGGAGAAGCCTTTTACACTGGCACAGCCACCTTCACTGTGGAAGAGGAGGACCCACTGAAACACGGCTTCTTCTTCAAGTGACCCGAGCCACGGGTGGTGGCAGAGCCTCACTGATGGTGCTGTGCTTCTCCTGCCCGTGAATTTCTGTTTTGCTTCTCCACACCTTGCAACAGGAACAGCCTTGTCACATTTGTCACATTTCAGGGTAACAGGCTTGTTCCCCTGTTGTGATTAGCACATTAGGTGCACTGTGATTAGCATATACAGGCTGCTCTGAGAAGCTGTAGTATTTTTCTTCCTTTTTTTTTTCTTCCCCATAATTCACAGAAAACTGAGCGGATCTTGGAGAGCTGCCTTCAAATTTATGTGCCTTCTCTATGTCTGCAAATTATTTCAAATTTCAAAATTAGATTTCTATTAAATGCCAGCTGAAGACTCTGCCATTTTCCGTGTTTTCACTCCCAGAGCTCATTTGCAGGATTCTGCTGAGTATGTCATGACTGTGGGTTTGAATTGCTAGCTCTTGTTGTCCTCCTGCTCAGCCAGCTGTGCTGCTCTGTCTCATGCCCCAGCTTCCCTGCTCAGCCTGTCCAGACAACCCCTTCCTCACTCATTTCACCCCACCGGGGCTCTCCTGCATCCTGAGGCTGGATGCAGGTATTTGATCAGAATTTCCTGTGTTCCTGCTGAGCGCCCATGCTGTGCTGCTTCCCTAAGCCTTCCTCTCTTTCTTATCTTGGACCACTGGCTGCAAATACCCTGTGGTTAGCTTTCAACAGGAGCAGCTGTGTTTGAAAGTCTGAGCTATTACGACCTTTGGCTGCTAATTATTTACTGATTTTGTCCCAGTCCAGGGGCAGCTTGTGCAGCAGAGTGCAGTCAGCGCTTGCTTTGCCAGAGTCCCTCCAGGGAAAAACCATTTGCAGTGGCAGGATCAGACCTTCAGACCTCTGGTGGCCTGTCACTTCCACTGTGTCTCTGGATAAAATGGTGCTTGTTAAATGAAGACACTCATGGGAGGAACTGGCCCTTGTTAAAATGAGACATGAAAATGAGAATGATCATCTCATGGAAGCTCATGCAGCAGAAGGGTGCATATTGGTGAACTTAGATAAGGTTGGCACAGAAAAGCCTGGGAGGAATTTCTTCTGTCAGCTTGAAAATAACTTTGTAGCAGGAGGAAACAAAAATCCCCCGATTTATGCAACTGCTGAGCTGCCAATAGAGGTTTTTGAGGATGGTGTCTGGGGCTCTTGCTCCTAGCTTTCCTGTAACTCCCTTGTAAATTCCATACAGCATCTGGTACAGAAGAACAAGAAGTGACACCCAAATCCTCCGTGCTTGCAGGAGCACACTCTACCATGTGTTTTTGTCTTCTGGGCATCTCCTTCTGATCAGCCCCCCAGCCTGGCTCCTTGGAATGAGCTGGGACAGCAAGTCACAAAGCCCAGCACCGGATGTTTGGAGGTTCTTCAGGCATTAATTGGGATGCATCCTTCATTACCTATTCTGTACCCCCATCCTTAAGGAAATTTTCAGGTAGGGGCAGGCAGCTGTAGTATGGATGAGAGTGGGGGGAAAGGGTCCTGCTGCCCATGTGGGAATCCCTGATAATCCCTCAAGCCCCATCCTGGTGATGGGGTGATGGTCCTGGCCTCCACCTGAGAGTCCGGGGGTAGCTGGTCCTCCGTGTTGGTCTGCGGGGCTGTGCGGGGAGAGGATCTGACCGGGGCTGCCAGGGGAGCACATCTGTGGGCACCCACGGGAGGATGATGCCGCTGTGGGCTGCGGTTCCCCGGCCCCGCCGCTCGTCTGTGGGGGCTCCGCTCCGCCGCCGCCGGGTCCAGCTGGGCCGGGCCGGGCCGGGCCGGTTCCCCGGGCAACGGCGGCCGAGCGACGTCAGCGGCCGGGGGGGCCGGGAGCGGCGGGGCCTCTGCAGCCGCGGCGGGGCCGGGCCATGAGGTTGCGCATGGAGCCGGCGGCGGCCGTGCCGGGAAACCTCTCCCGCGGCGGCGGCGGCGGCGGCGGCAACGAGAGCGGCGGGGCGGCGGCGGCGGGAGCGGCAGGGTGGTCGGCGGCGGCGCTGGCCTCGCAAGCGGCCGCGCTGCTGCTCATCTTCGCCCTCTCGGCGCTGGGCAACGGGGCGGTGGTGCTGGTGATCGCCCGGCACCGGCAGCTCCGCACGGTCACCAACGCCTTCGTGCTGTCGCTGTCGCTGTCGGAGCTGCTGGGCGCCCTGCTCTGCCTGCCGCTGGCCTTCCTCAGCCTGCTCAGCCGCCCGCCCGGCGCTTGGCTCTTCGGGCAGCGCCTGTGCCTGGCCAGCGCCGCCCTCCACGCCGGGCTGGGCATCGCCGCCACGCTCACCATGGCCCTGCTCTCGTTCGACCGCTACTGTGCCATCGTCCGCCAGCCCCGGCACAAGATGGGCCGGCGCCGCGCCGCGCAGCTGCTGGCCGCGGTCTGGCTGGCCGCCCTGGCGCTGGCCGGGCCCTGGTACGGGCTGGCGGGCGAGGGGCGTCGCGAAGCCCGTCCCGGCGCCTACCGCTGCGTCTACGTGCTGCCCTGGGGCTCCTCGCGGCTCGGGCCGCCCTACGGCGCTGCCCTCATCGTGCTCTGCTACCTCCTGCCCTTCGCCGTCATGTGCTTCTGCCACTTCAACATCTGCCGGGCGGTGCGGCTGGCCGAGAGCCGCGTGCGGCCGCTCACCACCTACGGGCACCTGCTGCGCGCCTACGGGGAGATGCGCACGGCCACCACCGTCCTCATCATGATCGTCTCCATCATCTGCTGCTGGGGGCCCTACTGCATCCTGGGGCTGGCCGCCGCCGCCGGCCGCCTGCCCTTCTCGCCCACCATGGACGCCGTGGCCAGCGGCATGGCCTGGGCCAACGGCGCCATCAACCCGCTCATCTACGCCGCCCGTAACCCCAACATCTCGGTGCTGCTGCGGCGCAGCCGGGAGGGTGGCTACAGGACTAGGAACAACATGGTCGCCTACCTGTCGGTGCCGGGCCGCCAGCCGGAGCCGCGGAGCCGGGCTGAGCGGGTCCGGGAACGCTACATCAATCGGCACAGCGGCCCCCCGGGCAACGCCATGTCCTCCTCCAGCCCGGCCAGCGGGGGAGAGGTGGCCATGTGGGCCTGCAAGACTCCCGCTGTGCTCTTCTGCCGGGATGGGCAGCCGGACACTGTCTCTGAGGCCACCCTGAAGGCCAAAGCGGGCGCCATCGACACCAGCCTCTGAAGGGATGGGGGCCGGGATGGAGGCATCTGGCCCCTGAAGAAAGTCCTGCTGCTTGGAGCCCTTTGCAGCCGGATTACCAGGAAACCGTGATGGGACTGTGTTTCTTCTCCACTGTGTGAGCTCTGCTTTGGTGACCCCACTTGCGGGCAGCAGGAGCTCCGTAGGAAAGGAAAATCCCCCTTCCTTTTCAGCAGGCATCAGTGACAGCCACCGAGGCCAGCCGAGGCAAGAGCTCAGCTGCAAGGACAGGACAGTGTTTTTGCTCCAGACCTGCAGAAAGTGCCACTGTGAAGCTCCGGGGCTGACACACCAAAGCAGCCCAAACTGACTGTGTGAGCTGTTTGTTAAGTGCCAAAAAAGCAACTGAGAGCTGAGCACTGGCAGCTGGAAGCCACTCTGAAAACACCACACTGTGAAAAACCGCATCATGGCAGGAAAATGTTGCTTTTATCCGTTATATGTGGAAGTGCCAACAGTCATAAAGTCACAGACTGTAGGACAGGCTGAAAAAGTGATCTATTTATATGTATTTTTTTTTTTAATTTAAACTCTGAAGCATAACAAGAAAAGTAATTATGAAAGATGTATGATACTGGGAGGGAAGGAAACGAAGGTAATACCTCAGGTGTCAGAATTTCAGCAGCTTTTCTCTTTTTTTGCAGGTACGGTCAACTTAAGATACTATGAATATGAGAGACAGGAGTTCCTCAGACAGTCTGAAAAGGGTGTGGGCGTAAACTGTGGTGTGCACAAGATGTATGTTTTCTTTTTGAGCTCATCCGAAGTGTCTCTCATCTCCAAGGGTTTTACCATAATTAGAGGAGCTGTGTGAGAGGAGTGTCTGAAAGGAGAGGCAAAGCAATACCATGTGTTCTCTGTGTGCTCTGCAGCTTGTGAAAATGTGTATATGCACAGAACAGATACTGTTGTATTGATGGCAGCAATCCATCAGAATACAATATTTAAAAGCCAGCTGTTTGCTGTTGAAAAAAAAAAGGAAAATAACACCATGGAAATGCGATTGCGCAGCATAAATTTGAACGAATTTATCAGTGTAATCTTTTTGTTCAAGAGACCAAAGCCTTAAATTAGTATTTTGAATTTGAAATTAAGATTTGGCCTTTGTTTGTCTTTGCCAGAGTTTAGTGTGAGACAGTATTTTGTTTTGTACAGGCTTTAAAAATGGTGTTTTGGTTTTACCTCATTTTTCATCTGTTTGTGACACAAGTGAATGCTCTGTTATTATTTTGTAAGTGAAGAAATAAATTGTCTTTTATGCAGGAAATGAAAGTGTCTCAGCCTGGCATCATTCTCAGGCCAGCCTTGGGAAGGGAACTCCTGTAAAAAAAGATGAATGATAGCAGAGAGACCTAATTGTTTGTGAAATTTTAATGCAGCGGTTTCCATGCTGTAAGCATTACTGTAACTTTCTTCTCTGATGCTCCTGAAGCCCATGAGGGAAAGATCTGACCCTTGACTACTCAGCACTGCTGATTTGCCCTGCAGCTACTGGATTTTGCAGGTTGAGCAGTGTTTTCTTGCTGTGTTTCAGAAAGAAGCTGTGCAGAAAACCCACAGCTCTTCACAGGAGCTGTTTGACAGCAAGTGACCAGGGGTGGCTTGTTGGAAGGGCAGGGGAGGAATTCCTGGCACAGCAATGCCTGGCTAAGTGTGAATGGAAAGGGATGGTTGTGAACGATGAGACTGGATTGAACTCTTACCTGGGTAGCTGCAGGTGGTAACAAGGACATTGGTGGGGGATAATTGATCATGCAGAGCTGATCAACTGCTGGAAGTCCCTGGAAAGGGTGGTGCTGTCTCGGGTTTTCAGCTTTCAGGATGACCCTTTTTCCCAACCCGCTGGCCAAAGAAAGAGTTGGGATTCTTTGGCTCGTGTTCACAAGGTTGTTTATTATCTGTTATCCAAAATATTTTCTCTCAGACCCACAGAGGTCTGATCTGCAGGTCTGTCAAGGGCACACTACACGGCTATCTCTTTATATTAAAAACTATGTGTACTTTATTTACAGTTATTTTCCAATACCTCTCATCTGTGTTAGACTGTCTGCTTCTACTTTAGGCCAATCTAAATGTGCCACCATCACCAAGAAGATGAAGGCTAGGAAGAAGGAAGAAGCATAGGACAACACCCAATTCTCTCCATCTTGCCTCCTAGACCCTTGTAGTAAAAAATCTTCAAAATTCCATCTTTCACCCTGTGACAATTACTATCACGTTACTTAAACTTTTGTGACTTGTAATTCTTCATACAAAGGTGGTAATTTGCTCCATGGGTTGAGATCGAATTCCCAAATGTCTTTGGCTTCCTGCCAGGATCTCCAAGCCCCTGCCAGGATCTTGAGCCATCCAGGGCACCCAGAGGGATGTCCTGCATTCCGACAGTGCTGCTCCCCTCAGTGCCTGGCTCTGGCCACCTTCCCTGTCCCTTCTGTCCCCACCACCCCAGCTGACTCAGGCACTGAACAACCACTGATTCCCACTTTTTCATATGGTTTCCTTTTCTTCTGATTTGATGTACCACAGGCCAGGGAAGCCCCTCTGTGGCAGTCAGTTATGGCAAGGGAAGGACTGGGGATGTCAGGACTGAAGGAACTGCACTGGGAGTGGAAGTATCACAGCTTTCTAGGAAAGTGGTAGTGAAGCTGCTCTAACACGGGTTTCAACATATTTTTTACAAGCTCAGGCTGCTGCATGTTAGTCTTGCGTGTGAGGAATTGAACAAGGGCAGCTGCCTGTGGTCTTGGAGGCATCGCAAATTGGCACATTTCTGTGAAAAGCTAACTTGGGCTGTAGCAAGGGGAGATTCTTGACCTGATCCTTTTTGACATGGACCTGCTGCAGCTTCAGTAGAGAGCCAGCTTGTGTTTCAAAGCTGTGCCTGGCCTGTGCTCCTCATAATCACAGAATCATAGAATCATTTCAGTTGAAAAAAACCTCTTAAGTTGTCAAGTCCCAGCACTGCCAAGTCTACCACTAACCCGTGTCCCCAGGTGCCACACCTACATGTCTTTTAAATGCCTCCAGGGATTGTGACTTTTTACCACTTGCTTGGGCAGCCTGTACCGGTGTTTGGCAACATTTTCTGTGAAGATATTTTCCCTAATATCCAATTTAAACCTCTTCTGATGCGACCTGAGGCGTTTTTGTCTGGTCCTGTTATTGTTACCTGGGAGAAGGGACCAACCCTGCCTGACTACAGCCTCCCTTCAGGTAGTTGTAGAGAGGTCCCTCCCAAACCTCCTTTTCTCCTGGCTGAACACTTCCTCAGCTACTCCTCACATCACAGCACTGTTGAACAAGTCAGGTACATAGGTCTCTACAGCCACATTTTTAAAAGCATGTTTTAAAAAATACAACCACATGGTCTTAGCTAAACCACAAACAGTGCAAACCACACCAAAGGCTAAAGGCTGCCTGCCAAAACAGTCCTTGAAATGCTGCTGTGTCCCGGCTCTGCTGAAGGTTGCTGCTTCTTACCCAGCACCACAGTGGGTGAGATCTGTCCCTGCACCTGACAGTGGGGCTCCATGTGTTCATCTGGGAGAAAGAAACCAGTGGATTAAGCCACTGTTTTACTCTGGCTCTGAAACCTCTGCCCTCTGTGGTTGCAGCTGCTGGTTCTCGGGTGATAAAACATTGCAGCAGGTGGCTTCTGGCCAAGCCACTATGGGACATCACCCCCACATCTCCCTGTGCTGGTGTCACCCCACTTAGAGATCTCCTTTCTCTGAAGGCAGGAAGACACTGATTTTTAAACACTACAAAACTGGCTCTGAGGCTCCAACCCTCCAGCTTCTTTTCTTTTTCCTCCCTTGAGATGAGCCTGGACAAAGCAAATTGTACAAATCTTATTTGATCAAGGATATTGGGACATATTTTAGCATACCAGAAATCATTATTCTGTGGATTATTCTGTGCAGGATATTCAGCATAGGAGAAAGAGGAGTTCAAGTGATTTGAAGGCCAGTTCAGCCCTGGATACCAGAGACAACTACAGTCAGAGGCAAATTAAAAATGAGTCTTTGAGATCTTCAGTCTCTTGTTGACTTTCCAGCATATTTAAACCTTCAGTTTAAGAGTACCTTACTATTTGGCAATGATAACATGCCACTGACTGAACTAATGCATTATGTCTTAGAAGGAAAACATTAAATCTTGATGAATGACCAGCATTTTAGAATGTATTGCTCCAACTGTATGCAGTGGTAGTTTTCCTGCTGATTTAATAATCAGATTCATTCACGTAGTTATTTTCCACTCCCTTCCTAATGTGTGGATGAAGCCTCCGTTCAAAGCAAATGCTGTGTGCATAACTTAGGAGCTGTGAACAATTAGCAGTCCAATTAGCAGTATTTACAAGTGACAGCCAGATGGGCTGTAATAGCTGCCATCAATCAGCAGAATGGGGAGAGCTCAGGAGTATGAAACACCCCATTGCTGCCTCCCTTGCAGCACTGGTGTTAATTCCTGTATCCAGCAGATGCCAGCAGAGACCTCAGCAGCCAGCAGAGCTGTCCCAGCGCTGATTCTGAGAAAAGCCTTTCTGTTAATGAGATCAGCACTCAGAACTGCTGCTTCCCAAATACGAGCACTCAGGGTAGGGGTTGTGACTGAAGCCCAAAGAGCACCTCACCAAAATCTAATTTGAAAGGCAGATTCAACACGTGCTGCTCGTTGGGAAGTTTGTTGTACAGGCTGAAATGAATAATTTGGAAAGCACATCAGAAAGGTGGGATTTTGTGCTGCAAAGCTGCAGCCTGGAGGGCTGGTGAGGTCAGTCCCGGTGCTGGCAGCGCGCTTTGCTCAGCGGCACAGCTGCCTCTGCGCTCTGGATGCTTTTGTGTTTTCACATGATGACTCTGACTATTAATAATAAATGGGTGCACATCTAGATCTGCTTGCAAAGCATTACAGAGCCACAAAGTGAGTGCTAGAAAGAAAAGATCTCAAGTCCTCCAGGAGGAATAACCCATAATAACATCCAGTCTTGGGGAACCTCATGCCCAACTGCACAGTGCTGCTTTGCTGCTGCAAGCCTTGGGGTGACCAGTGGGGTGAGTGCCAGTGGCTT